ATCGTCCTTCGCCTAGAACTGCTGCGAGCGTCGAGTCTGGCTGCTGCTTCTATTTCCTTGTGGCCTCCCCCTGCTACGTCCTTGAGGGTTATGCATTGATCATCCAGCTCCCTGTTCTGATCCTTCAGTACGTTCCCTGTATGACCACCCTGTATGTATGCATGTGTCTTTTTTTTTGTTTTTCTGTTTTCTTCGGCTTTTTGTTTCTGTTTTCGTTTGTTGTTTTTCTGTTTTTCCTGATTTTGTGTTTGTTTTGTGCAGTGGGCAGGTACTCCGCGCCCGGGGCTGGGGGGCTGGCAGACAGACGGAGTCCAAAAAAGTGGTGCCTGTAGGTACAGCACCAGGACTTCCCAGGAGGTCCCAGTACTATTCCGGCCCAACGGCGCTTGGCTTCCGAGTTCGGATGGGATCGGGCGCATTAGCCGTGGTATGACCGTACCATGCCTGAGGGGCCCGCTGCAAGCCACAAGGCCGTTGCAAGGTGCGGGTTCAAGTGGTAGCATTCAAAACGCCCACGGACACCCCCCGGCCACAAACAGACCCACCGACTTGCGCTGACGTTGTCTGATCATGCTGAATACATGTAGCTGTTTATTGGACGAAATTCATTCACTAGGATTCAATTTGGTCGTGTTAGGCTAAAAAGCTACTTCTTCTTCTTCTTCTCCTTCTCCTTCTCCTTCTTCGTTTCACCAGGCGTTGTTTTTTGTTTGTTTTTTACAAAAGACACCCGGGGGAGAGCTATTTGTGGAGGTGATAAGAGCAACTCTGCTATGCATGTCCGCGTGGAAGGTGAAAAAATTGTCTGTTTTTTGTTTTGCCGTTTTGAAGTCAGTGTGGGGGCATGGGGTGGGGCTGCAGTCGGGATGAACGGGTGCGGTTGGTGGCATGGGAGTTGGGATGGGAGGGGATGGAGCTGGACTGGGAGTTGCGTGGGGAGGTGGGTGTTTCTTGCCGGTAAACGCTATGGAGTGCTTGAATTCAGCAAACTCCCGAGTCGGACGTGGGAGTTGGGGGGGTGAATGGTAGAGGTGGTTTCGGCGGGTCCGAGCAGTCGCTTGTTCGGTGGTGGAATGAGGGGGCAACAACATAGGTGGGGAGGGGTGGGTTGATCGCCCAGATAAGGAGCCACTAATCAAAAAGAAAAGTTTGAACTTTGCAAAAAAAATCGAGAGAAAAAAAATATTCGTTTGCAAGTTCAGTAGGCCTCCCAATCCCCTTGAAGTGCGAAATTACCAGTGAGAAAAAAATTCGAACTTTCAGACTGCAAATGATTATCAGACAGTAAAAAAAATAATAGAACTGCAAAAAAAATCCGCGAGTTCAAAAAGAATTCCGAAAAATAAAAAAATATTTGGAATTACTCAGATGAGAGTACGCACAGTTTGGAAAATGGTAACTGCAGGAGGGATTCCGAAATTTTTGAAAAACGATATTCCGGATTTCCAACAACGAAATTTCAAATTTTCAGAAGAAAAACGAAAACAGAAATTTCAGGTGTTGCGCTATTGCGATTTTCCACAACAGAAATAGCGGGAAAAAAAAATCCAGGAAAATAAAAAATTTCGATTTGCAGCGGTTAGATCAAAATCGCGATTTTAGGGGCCTAATTAGTATGCTCTAATCAATCAATAAATCAAGACTTAATCAACTAATTAGTCCCTGTACGCGTGTCGGATCAGGTTGTCATGATTCACGTGCGGTGCTCCGATACCAACTGATACATGCCCAGTTGGGCAATGTATGTAAAGCCAAGGATCTGCAATGTGATAAAAAGGACTGAATGGACAATGCGGTGCTAGTGGAATCTGAACAAGCAGTGTACATCCTGATACATACAAAAATGGCACACAATAGTGCAGTGGAAGACTTAGAAATAAGCCCTGACCTGACCGGGACTGACCTCTCTCACGTAGTACAAGACAGCGCAGTGGAATGCTAGAATACCAATGACTAGCCCAATCAATGTCGCAATGCAGACCCAACGTACATCATCCTCATCACAAGGTGTGAAGGGGCCTGGCGCTACACACAAGAAGAATGCGCCGGGTCCAGACCATACATAGACGAAAAGGAGGGGATCAGACGAAGAAGAGGGGGAAGATGGGAATGTCGTCAACACGAAGTCTTCGGTACAAGTCCCAGATAATCCCTTGTCAAATGTCTGAAGCCCAATGTCGAGTCTGGATCCAAATGTCACCAATCCCGCTCCCTCTTGTAGTCTGCTGATGCAGTGAAGTCAGGTAGCGAGAGGGTTAGAAGTAGATGGTGGACTGAGAAGAGGAAGAAGAAGAACTCTCTCTCTCTCTCTCTCTCTCTCTCTCTCTCTCTCTCTCTCTCT